TATAGTAACAATACTTTGGATTGTTGGTGCTCGCTACTACCTGCTGAACCCACATAGAACCAACCAAAAACCTAACAACTTAACATTACAATAATAAAAAGGTTCAAGAGTGATTCTTTGGCCATAACTTGTTGCAAAAAGGAAGGACCCACCGTGATTTGAACACGAGACCTAGAGATCTGCAATCTCTCGCTCTACCGCTGAGCTATAAGTCCTTTTTCTTGGAAAGATTGAAATTTAATGCTACAAATAATGAAAATGTGACTGTTAGTGACGTCATTAATTACTGTATTAGGAAACTTATTTTCTTGTTTTAGTAGTTGTATGAAGGGTTGGTTGTGGTAAACAAATTCTGATCTTCTCTCTATTGTCTCCATAGATGTCTTTAAGAATAGTGTTTTAATACTATGATAACCATATATTCTTCTAAGATATTTGTTTAAAAAAGCATACCAAAATCTGTGGTGTTAATGTCTTTTTCAAGAAAATGAGAAATATTTTCAAATTAATGAGAAAAGTTTCAAAGCAGTATGTTATATTAACAGGTAGAGAATGACAACCAGTGGAATCAATTACTGGATTTACTTTATAGACATATTCAAGACTCAAGCTTTGGCTAATGGAAAAAGCACAATAATACTTAGTATATCTTTTATAAATATCACTACATACAAGTAATATCAACACACATAGCGAAACATCAATAAATATAAAGAATGACAGCAGTAGACATAAGGAAAATAATTCCATCTCGTAGAGCATTTCTAGCCAGAAAGGCAATTCTAGAAGAGTAGATAGCTTTTTTATATTAGGCGCTTCTAAACTAAGCTTGTTTCAAGATTCTGGATACCCTGCGTACATATAGTATGATCAAAACCCGAACGTTGAGGATGAGAGGTATTTCCATGGAATATCTGTCATCCAAAATGTTCTTCTAAGAAAGCTTTAATAAAGTGAAAGGTGGACTGACTTTTATTACTTATTTTACTTTATTTATAAATGAATAGTGGTAAGTAATAGAAAAAAAAAATGATAAAGAAGTACACCAATAACTAACGATCACTGTCATTCTTCAAATACTTTTGTTTCTTTCTACTTTTATTGTGAGTATAATAATAATCATTATGATGAAGGGTGTTTTACTGACTTTATTCTCTATTTAATATCCATTTTCATTGTGCCCAATCCTTAGTTTATTTTCATTAACTCTTACTTTTTTTCTCATTTATCTGACAACTTTTCTCAATTATTTGAATTTTTTTTTGAAAAAACAGTACCACAGCTATTATAAAATGAATTTATTTTCAATTTATTTGGTTCTTGTGTTCTATTTTAAATTATGTTGATATTATGGAAAAGTATATAAAAGTGGACAAAAGAAACTTTACCAAAAGTCGACGTAAAAGTTACTCTAAAAAACGACAAGAAATACTTTTATATCTATCTTTTAAAGAAAGAAGAAGACAAGTACTTGGTGCACTAACTGCTTCTATTATTATATTTCTACTACTTGTTATAAATCGTAATGATCAAAGTGGCAATTCACAAAAAAAGTTGAGAGATCAGACCAGTTATTCCAGTCATAATAGAACATGTACAGCAACACTTTGCAATCCCCTTAATCGTTGTTCGACATGGTCAGCAAACCAAATATACGATTGGTCTACTCTATCACAGGCAGGCCTGTTCCGAGATTTAGCCACCGCTCAAGTGAGCCTAGGGTGTGAATTGAGAATAAAGGTGGAAGATAGAGTAAGGGGTGGCGAATGGCTATCTCTATTCGATGGCTTCACTGAATGCAGCGAATCTGGTTATGGTCGAAAATGCAGGAATTTGGTAGAAATAGATCTTAGAGGTTGGTTATTATTATGTGTGATCTTGATTGTATATTTGGATCCTTACTTATTATAGCTAATGCTTTGATATTGGCAAAACAATTAAAGCGAGTAATGACAGGTAATAAAATGGATGATCCATGAATATGGAATGCTTACTTACTCTTTATTTGTTTATTTATTTACTTTTTATATATAAAAAATAGAGGAGAACAATAGCCATAGTAAAGAGATTATAATGTCTCAGCAGGGAATAACATCAAATACAATAGACGTCACTCTAGTCTCTCAATTCTCTGTAAATCGACTTGAAGTGTTTGCCAACGTTATTAAAGCATGGGAAGGGCCAATTTCCATTACAATGTAAGAGATAAAGAGAGATGACACTAGCATTATATATATATGCATTAACCCTAATCCTAATAGATATTTCACTCATCCCAGCGATATTGATGTACTCATTGAATACCTTCAAGTCCCTGATCATCTTACTCTCTATTCCCGGGTTACACTCTCTCTTGTTAAACCCAATTTCTCGAGTTCAACCTATTCAGCATATCCTATTAACCATTTAAGAAATATTGCAATTACAGAATCCACCACAGAATACATATTTGTGATTGATGCAGATTTTATGCCTTCTATCCATCTCTACAGTCACATCCATTCAAAATTACTGCCTTATATCACTCGCAAAAATGCACCATTTAATACGGCCTGGGTTGTTCCCTGTTTTGCCATCCATGAAGAGTACAGTGATTTACAGCAACCAGAAACACTTGACGAATTAAAAAAGCTGATTGCAAAACAAATAGCTTATATCACCGATCCCGGGGCTGGCCATGGCCCTACACTTGCTTTGGAAATTGCAATGGCTCAGCCTTTCTCGACTGGAAACTCATTAGCCTATGAAGTATGTTATGAGTCACAATGGGAGCCTTATTACATTGTACATCGAACGGCACCACTTTATGACAGTAGATTCCGAAACCAAGGAGGTGATAAGCAATCACACGCATTACATTTAAACGCAGAACGTTATCGGTTTATGGTACTAAGAGAGGCGTTTATGATACATAAAGATCATTCGAAAATGGTATGGCCAGGTGGAGGATTTGAAAAATCCCAAAAGGAGACCACAAGGTGGAATTATTTTGAAGGCTATATGAGTGAGATAGAGTCATTGTATGGAAAATGGGCAAGATGGCCACGCGGATGTAGTGCAAGTGCCATAGGATGGCAAGATCAAAGAAGAAACACTCTAGGGCTGGGAACAGGAGCAATTTAATAGACAAAAGCTTATTTATTGTGATATGTTTATAGATCATAGTCATTTAATACCGTACAATAAATTATATACTATTTATTTTATATGTTAGCAAGCCTTTAAAAATGGTAAAATATAATATGATTTTTGTCCATTTCCTAATCACGGATTTATATTGTATAAACTATAAGGATGGTATATAGTAACTTCTGAATATATTCGCTTTACTATAACATCACTTATATGCAGATACATCGAGAGGTGACTGTATTTCCCGTTTTACTTGATCTTTTTGTAGTAAAATTTGATCTATTCTTTTCTTTTACTTGACATAATCCCATATCTGTGATATTTGCTAACTACCTCATTCAAATATTTACTATTTAAAAACAAAACAAAAAAAGACATAAATGGCTAAATGAAAATCAATATATATATTTTATATATTACTTTATTTATTATAATTATACAAAAGTAAAAAACAACACATTATGAACAAACAGGCACATAAAGGAACAGACCTCAGCGGAGTAAAAAAAAACCCAAAAAAAAGGATACTATAGACTCACTCACCGGATAGGTGCCAAAATTTTAAGCAGAAGAAAAAGCTAGTACCCAACAAAACCAGGTGAGATATTACCGTATATGGCTATGTTGTTATGGTTCATGATTGGCCGAAAAAAAAAAGAAAACTACCAAAAAATAAAAATCGTAATGCGCAAAAGCAGTCTAAAAATCCAGTACAGTGAGAACGGTAAATTTTGTCACTTTGAGAAAATTAAATGTCTGTAACCAAAAAAATAAATGTCACTTTCCAAAAAATTAATGGCATTAACCCAAAAATGATTGTCCCTTTGTGTCCAGAAAGTTTGTCCTTTTGAAATAAAAGAAATGGCACAGTAAGTTAATCGAATTGACCTAAAAAAGATATGTATTCTTTGAATGATTTGTCATTTAGAATGAGCGGCAAAGTTGTATAGAATTTCGACAGGTATGGCATTACATGCCTCAACAATTCTATCAGACCATTATTCTTCAGTCAACAATTTCTGACGTTTCAATTTTCATTTTAAGATTGCCCAAGTGTTCAATTGTGTTTAATTCAAGCCAATATGGAGGCAGATACACCAGCTTATAGCCACGACTTTCGATTTTTCTTATCATCGGTTTTGGTTTATGCATGGTGCAGTTATTCATCACCAAATAACTCCCTTTTAGATCTTTATTAGGATCCGAGAAATTAAGCAGAACAGCCATGAGTTTGATAAAGTATGCAGTTGTTGTACCTTTTGATATCAATTCTAAACTATCTTGCGCATTGTTCTCGTTATTATCATCTACATACTCTGTAGCTGGTATTTCTATAATAAACTCACCTGCAGTATGTTTTTTGCCCTTTGCTACTTTTCTTTTCTTACTTGTTGATGCCTTGTTACTTTGAAACTTTTCTTTTTTTGGCGGTGCTTTCTTTATCGCTACATTAATGGCACTGGATGCATGTATAACTCTAATGATCGTATGAGATGGGGTCTTTGTTTTAGTTGTCTTCACTATAGCAGGTATTTCAATATCTGCCCTGGCTCAATTATATCTCAAATTTATATGAAATCTGCAGCTTCACCAATAAAGATACAGTTTTTTGTAAAGTCTGATCAAAATCTTTCCATTTTATAAAACATTCATATCTGGTCTCTAGGTAATCAGCAGAGTTTTTAGCTTCGGACTCGAATGTAGGTTTCTTAATCGTCACAAGTATATTGTTCCTCAAATGATGATCAGGATGCGTTTTGGAAATAGAAAAGCCATAACCTCTTTATTTCTTTTAAAAATATACATACACAATGTCTATTCAAGAATATAGATAATGTTATAGCACTGAAAAGTTCTAAGAGTTTTTAATTGTTGTATCAGAATCTTTTTATTTATTATTCAATATCTAATTAAATTCAGACTAACAACCAAACTGAAATGGAAAAAGATATCTTGTTTATTTGGTATCGAGAAGTACATGTTTATGACTGTAGTTACGTGGAGCTACAACGATTCAGAAGTTTGCCTAGCAACACAACTAAAAAGCCCGTGATCATAGTAGTAGAAGGGACAGCAATACCGATTTGCAAATTGTAGATAAATTGCCATCTTGCTGTACTTGACGAGAAACAATGACGATTGCCCAAAAGTGGAGAAGGAACCAGTTAACAAAAGCACAGCTAGACGCTATCTTTTGACTCTTTGTCCTCTATCAAAACAAGGTTCTTCCGCCAACACAATAGATGTTACATTAACCGAAAAGCTTTCCTACAATAAACATTTTTAAAAAAACTATTCCATTATTATTTATAATTTTATAGAATACAACCTATTTAGATTATTCGGACTCATTTATAAGAACAAAGCTACTTATACCTGCTCGCTACTACGATGAAGCAACAAGATACTAAAAAGTAATCTTACCACTTGCATGATAGGATTTGTCTCAGCCAAGGACAGCTGGCAAGCTCCCAGGTATAAGCTATAGGAAAAATAGCCTTATTGGAGGACAACAAAACGAAACAAGATAGTAAATGAGTGTGGACAAACGATGATGCTACTTCGTTGTTCTATGATTTTTCATTAGAATGGTGAACGTACCATCCTAAACAGAGTCGGTTCCTGTCGACCGTTCGAGGGTCCATATTCGATCTCTACCTCATTGCAATATGGAATTACTTTAGGAAGTCATATTCTAATGGAAAAATAGGAAAAATAGCCTTATTAGAGACACTCGTTACTGTTAATTCTCCTTATCTTTTTCATAGGCGGAGTACTTTTTGTTCATAAAAAAAAAAAAATTTTTTTTTTGCGGTGCAACGGAACTACTGCACCAAAGTTAAGCGACGATATACACCAGATACTAAAATTAGATGCGAAATACGGAGAAACAGTCTTTACAACACAGGTGTTCTCATGGAGCTGTTTTTTTAGCTCTAATTTTGTTCACACTTCTTAGTGCTCAAAAAAAGTTCGTTAAAACAGTTGTTAACCTGGAAGTCTCTGATAGATCATACCTGACTGCTGTAAAAGGAATCTGCATATTTCTTTATACTGTCTCTAATCGTCTTATCAGATTAGAGAAATAGTTTCTTTGTTTTATACCTAGCGACATAGTAGTCCAAAGAGCAAATCGAGGAGTGCGTTGACAAAATTAAGCTCTAGACTTTTGATGTAGTAACTCTTACCACATTCATATATTTCGTGTTATTTAATAAAATGATAAAAAAAATGAAATGGAAAAAAAAAGTAGTTTAGTCGCTGCATAAACGTTTCTAGTGCTAGGTAAAAAACGAAGAAACTATTTCTTTAATCTGATAAGACTATTAGAGACATTATACTGAAATATGCAGATTCCTTTTACAGCGGTCAGGTATGATCTATCAAGGATTTTCAGGTTAACAACTGTTTTAACGAACTTTTTTTGAGCACTAAGAAGTGTGAACAAAATTAGAGCTAAAAAAACAGCTCCATGAGAACACCTGTGTTGTAAAGACTGTTTCTCCGTATTTCGCATCTAATTTTAGTATCTGGTGTATATCGTCGCTTAACTTTGGTGCAGTAGTTCCGTTGCACCGCAAAAAAAAAATTTTTTTTTTTTTATGAACAAAAAGTACTCCGCCTATGAAAAAGATAAGGAGAATTAACAGTAACGAGTGTCTCTAATAAGGCTATTTTTCCTATTTTTCCATTAGAATATGACTTCCTAAAGTAATTCCATATTGCAATGAGGTAGAGATCGAATATGGACCCTCGAACGGTCGACAGGAACCGACTCTGTTTAGGATGGTACGTTCACCATTCTAATGAAAAATCATAGAACAACGAAGTAGCATCATCGTTTGTCCACACTCATTTACTATCTTGTTTCGTTTTGTTGTCCTCCAATAAGGCTATTTTTCCTATTTTCCCATTAGAATATGACTTCCTAAAGTAATTCCATATTGCAATGAGGTAGAGA